ATGCGTGGAAGAAAATTAGATATACGTATATAATGCAGAAGCAGGCAGTTATTTAAAATTTAAATTAAATCAAGAACAGGTTGCAAAAATAAAGTTATAAAAATAATTAAAAATTGTAATAACTACGTAATGTGAAAATATTTGTATTAATTGAAAAATAATTACTGTTTCGGTAAAAATATCATTGTACGAAAAATGGTTTTTCTATTACAAATATGATTAGGTTGAACGACAACAGAAAACTCAACAATTTATTAAAAAATGTATGATTATTCTGTTATCAAAATAAATAATAGCGCCAATATGACTAATAATCATGTATTAAATATAATTAATTACACCTTCTTGTCAGCCACCAAAAAAACATTTCAGATTTGCTGGGTATATACAATTCTACGAAGAAAACTAATTTAAGCCACTTTTATATTCGTTAGAAGAGATACCGATTTTTTTGTTCAAAATACTCTACTTCTCCTAAATAATCGATGATAATTAATTAAATGAAATTATTCATAACTATTCGGCAGGCTAAACAATTCCTATTTCCACCTTCTAACCTCAAAATAACACCTTCGCCGCTTGATTTTTGATTCTCAGGCAAACAAATATTAAACGTAAGTCGTTCGAAAAGGCTTTTTTACGAACCTCATTACGGCCCTCGTCTTCGGCTCGTGCCTTAAAGCTCTCGGTTTGTAAATTCAGCCTTTCCTAACTCGGTACGTAATGTACTATTTTTGTAAAAAAAGTTATAGGACTTATTTTAAAGAAATACTTGATTTCACGTACGTAAGCTTTAATTGTTTATTTAATATTATTTTTTATTACTTTTCGGCCGACCCAAAAGTAATTTGCTTTTATTTATGTGCATATAGAGATGATATGTACCAAGTTTGGAAGCAATCCTATTTCTGTAAGAAAAGTTATGACTTTTTTTTTAAAGAAATACGCGGTCTCACGTGCGTAAGCTCTAATTGTTTATTTAATTTTGTCGTTAATTTTTTTTCGGCCGACCTAAAAGTAATTTGCTTTTATTTGTGTGCATATACAGATGGTCTGTACCAAGTTTAGAAGCAATCCTATTTCTGTAAGAAAAGTTATAAGACTTTCGTTAAAGAAATCCGCGGTCTCACGTACGTAAGCTCTAATTGTTTATTTAATATTGTCGTTAATTTTTTTCCGGCCGACCCAAAAGTAATTTGCTTTGATTTGTGTGCATATAGAAATGATCTGTACCAAGTTTGGAAGCAATCCTATTTCTGTAAGAAAAGTTATGATTTTTCATCAGTATACCTGATTCTTTTTTTAACTTGGTTTGTTAATTTAATGTTATTATTAATCAATTGCTTCCTTCTGAAAGGTGTTTAATGCAGATGTACTGCATATAAAGCATCAAAAGCGCCAGTTAGGCTTATTTAAAAAAAAAATATTTCAGTTTTCTACTGAGCGCTCCATATAGTATGTCGGCTAGGTCCGTCGGCTAGCTTCAACTTCATACAATCGAGAGCTTCTACGCATGCTCAATGCCTTAGCATCGCAGCGTCGCGCGCGTAATTTCAAATTTCCTTATATTCTAATACGCCTCCTTAAATTTAAAATTTCATGTTACAAATTTTATTTAATCATTTTTTTTATTTTAATTCAATCTTAAATCGTTTCCAAATTTAACCAATTTAATTCTCCCTAATGCTTTAGTAAAAATGTCTGCTTCGTTATTTTCTGAGTTTACTTTAACTATATTAATTATACCGTTTGAACAATTCTCGTTTACAAAGTGAAAATTTGTTTCGATATATTTCGAGTTTTTCGTATATTACCAAATTTAGCAATTCTAATCGCACCAGTTATCTTAAAAACATTTATTGGTTCATTAAAAATAATTGAGAAATCTTTTAATATTTCGATCGTCCATAAGATTTCGCTTACGCTTTCAGACAACGCTACATACTCAGCTGCTGTCGAAGATTTTGTTACACTTCCTTGTTGAACAATTTAAACAAGGCAAGATATCTACTTTGAAATTTATGTCATACGTTAACTTAATATCTTTTGTTAAATACAAATATTTTAAAATTCTTATTGCATATTTGTAATGAGTTTAATTTGAACAGTTTTGAAATCTACTTAAATAGATTACGCTACAACTGATATCTGCTCTTACTCCTGAGCTTATAAATAGAAGGGCTCAGATCAAATTTCTGTAGTTTTTAAATTCAGATTCTGCCCGTGCGGGCTCACATTTCAAGTTTTGCTCCATTGGAGTTTCATATAATTTAGCTTGTATTACATCATACTTTTCTGCTGAAGATTCTATGTATATTTTCCTGATCTAATGTTATTATATCAATTTAACGATCATAATCAATATTTATACCAAGATATGTATGAACATCACCTATTTTTTTCGCCTTAAATTTATTTGTTAATACCCTTTTAGTTTCGTTAATTTTATTTTGACTTTTACTACATATTAATAAATCATCCACAAAGATAATTACATAAATTGAATTATATCGATCATTTATATAATACAAACAATAATCATTCTCGCTTCGTTTAAAATTTAAACTTTTTAAATATGTATCCAGACACTCATACATGTTGCAAATTTTTCTGGTTTATACCTTGCTGGTTCTTTACGCGTTCTACTAGACATTCTTATTGTACTATTTTTTTTTTTTTTTTTTTTTTTTTTTTTTTTTTTTTTTTTTTTTTTTTTTTTTTTTTTTTTTTTTTTTTTTTTTTTTTTTTTTT